GGTGCTGGAAGGTAAAGATGCGCTGGGGACGCTACCGGACCCGCGAAAGGTACAGAGAGAACAAAGGGGTCCGGGGAAATTCGGAGACCGTCAGTTATTCCATGTTGATAACGAAGGGAATAACTGAGGCCTGAGCCCAGCCTCGCAGCTGGGCAAGAGCCAACCTATTACCCAGTGAGAATTTGAATCCGCACTACAGCAGGACCCCCCTTTTTCCTCAGAGGCATGTTCATGGAATACGAATGAATATTAATAAAGTGTGGCCCATGTTTAACCCATATACTTGGTCTCGCGTGGTTATTCCAGGATAAGTTGGCAATAAACAAAAACGTTAAAAAAATTAAGCTATATACTAATTAAAATACAATTGAAAAAAATAAAAGCAAAAAAACTAACTCTAAGAAGGCATTCAGGGATTCTTCCTCTTCTAATTTGTGCCTCCATTCTCTGTTTTTTTGTTTTCTATGTCTGTCTGAATTGTCAACTTCTTTGGATGGAAATTTGTCATACAAGGGCATCATATGCATACTTTCTCTATGTATCCCTCCTTTCTCCCTTCTGCACACATGTATGTGTGATATACATGGATTTCTCCATGCGCACATACAATTTAATACTGATTGCAGAGCAAGAATATGGAAAATGTCAACTGTTGTGCTCAGGGGAGGCATTCAGGACACACTGTTCCCTTCCCCTGCTACACTCATTTCACAATAACAGAATGTGATTTTTATTTGCTTTGCATCCAATTACAGGACATCAGAGGGACTGTATAAATTCTGAACAGAGAAATTATAACTCAAATGGCCGCATGTGTGCAATGGGGCTGATTGTGCTCTCAGTCTATTCATCTGGAGCATTAATGAAAACAATAAGGAATAGGCACTGTGTTTACAAATGATGCTCTTCACATTGCTGCCAGCCAAATAAATATGTGAAAAGAGCATTGCTAGCATTTGTCTACCTAAGATGCTTACAAGAACTCTGTTTTGTGATACGAAATACAAGCATCCGACAGCAGCACCTGCTCTGACCATATTAATGGGGATAGAAGGACAAAGAACCTCATATAGAAAGATTATGGACAAAACAAACAAGATGGACATTGCATACAGGGAAGTAACTTTGAAGGGTGGCCTGGGACTTTGTAGCAATGAGGGATGAGACTTTTATGGTTTAATGAAAGAAAGAAAAAAACCATGAAAGAGGCTGTTTTGTGTTTTTTTCTTCTTTTTCTTTTCATTTTCATGTTCTTTGACTAGCAAAAGTGAGCCTCTAAAGCACAAATAATCTATGTGTTTTTTTCCCTTTTTTCATTTTCATGTTCTTTGACTACCAAAAGTGAGCCTCTAAAGCACAAATAATCTATTTTAACAAGAGGGGAACACAAACTTTCTGTATTCTTTTGTGTTTCCCTCTTTTATTTTACCTTTTCAATCACCCAAGAAATTTTTCATTGAGTTGTGCTGAAATGATTGCTGACAGCAGTCAACCAAAATATGTTATTTTGCTATTTTCCTTGTGTGTGAGAGTGCCCTCTCAGTTTGATTGTGTTTTTTAAATGGTTATTTCTTTAGTTAACTATGCACTTATTCTTTAAATGCGTGATTTTTTTTGTTGGGGATTTTTTGGGGGAGAGTTCTGCTTTGTGGTGTTGGTGGTTGGTTGTACTGTTGCCTGCTTTTGGAGCAAATGAATTCTCTGTTGCCTTACCTCTTTTTCTTTCTTTCTTTCTTTTTTCTTTTGGAAAGTTTTAATGGGTCTTTCAGGGCCTTTTTTGCACCAGTGCCAGAGAACATAAATGAGAGGAAATGAAATGGGACCGTTTATTTTTGATAAATGGTCCTTTCATGTTAAACGAAAGGAACACTGCGCAAAAAACATAAAAAATGAAACAAAAATGAAAGCTTTCACCAAACACATCCTTAGTAGTAGCAGCAACGATTTTATGAGAATTCATTAGTATCATCTAGCATAGGGATTAAGATTCTGATATTCTCTTTGTTTCACTTACCTGTCATATCTGCCAACTTTTCAAGATCTTCGGCAGCACTTGGTCCCAAAGCAATGGTATGAATGATAGAACCACTATTTGTAACTTCAGTAAAACAAGAGCTTATGCTTCCATCTTCTCCATCTGTCAAAAGTACAATTTCACAGCCTTCTGTACTTGGATATTTATTCAAAAATACCTATGTGAAAAAGGACATTCACAATATTAAATCACCCATAGTGGCCTTGGTAGCCAGATGGGTGGTATTAAAAAAAAATATCAAATAAATAAATAAATAAATTTTAGCAGCATTACTAAAAGAAATAATGTTAGAGCATGTATAGAAATCTTGCTGGTGCTCTTATTTTATCAAGGCACTCTGCTGAGAATTCATTAACCTCTGTAAGATGCCTTGCCTCTGGTGTAAGAACAAGACTAGTCCTCTTCCTAAATATTTAATATTTAAATTGATATCTCCACATGTTGTACAAAATGTCTCAGCACAGAACTGGTGTCGTTTCCCATTGTGAAGCTGCGCAGCGTGCAGCAAGCACAGAAGGACTAGCTGACTGATCAAAAGGATGCAACAGCCCATCCATTGCATCCCCTTTTAAAGACATCCAGGCAACAAGGCAGCTATTATAATAGTTTCCCACAATTTGCACAGAAGTAAGTCTTGCAAATCAGCCTCAGGAGCAGTGAACAAACCTCACCATTTCACAGGTAAGAGGAAGAGTTTCTCATTCTTCCATGCAGGAACAAGTCAAGCAAAAGATTTACATTCCTAGCAGGAATTGCGGGAATTATTTGGAGCTCAGCTTTGTTTGGAGCTCTGTAGAAGAAATAAACATTTCTGTAAAACTAGGGAAACATGATGGCTTGGGCCATGAAATATGGGCAAATTAACTGCCTACTTGTAATAGTGCAATGGTTGGTGAGTGTTGTTGTTATGTGCCCTCAAGTCACTGCTGACTTATGGTGGCCCTATTAATAAGGGATTTCCAAAATGTCCTGCCCTTAACAGCCTTGCTCAGCTGCTGTAGGTCTGAGCCCATGACTTCCTTTAGTGAGTCAGGTCATCTCATATTTGGTCTTCCTCTTTTCCTGCTGCCTTCAACTTTTCCCAGCATTATTGTCTTTTCCAGAGAATCCTGCCTTTTCATGATGTGCCCAAAATAGGACAGCCTCAGTTTCAACATTTTTACCTGCAGAAATAATTCAGGTTGGATTTGATCTATGGCCCACTTGTTGGTCTTTCTGGCAATCCAGAGTATCCACAAAGTTTTTCCTCCAGCACCACATTTTAAATGACTCAATTTTATCCATGTCAGCTTTCTTATTGTCCAGCTTTCATATCCGTGCAGAGTAATTGGAAATACAAAAATGTGGATTATCATGGTCTTGGCTGAACACCAGCCATTTCTCACTCCATATAAGGTAAAATACTTTTTTTTGCAACACCTTGACCATCACTTTGCTTCCATGGCAAGTTAAAGCAATGGTCCTGTAGTTACACACTCCTTGGCATCTCCGGTCTTAGAGATTGGAATGTACAGTATATCGCAGAAGTTAGTAACCCCCCCCGTACATTTCATAAATATTTTAGTATATCTTTCCATATGACAACACTGAAGAAATGACACTTGGCTACAATGTAAAGCAGTGAGTATACAGTTTGTATAACAGTGTAAATGTGCTGTCCCCTCAAAATAAAGAAACACACAGCCAATAATGTCTAAAATTCTGGGAACAAAAGTGAGTCAATAATGCAACACACAGCCAATGTCTAAACTTCTGGGAACAAAAGTGAGTCCTAGCGGTTTAGACATTAATGGCTGTGTGTTGCATTATTTTGAGGGGACAGCACATTTACACTGTTATACAAACTGTATACTCACTGCTTTACATTGTAGCCAAGTGTCATTTTTTCAGTGTTGCCACGTGAAAAGATATACTAAAACATTTATGAAATGGGAGGGGGTGTACTCATTGCTGTGGTATACTGTATATTGGGCATTTCCAGTCTGTGGGCCGTTATTTTGTTTTCCATATTGGCATATTCTGGTTACATTTTTGACAGATTCAGTCTCTGTGACTTGAAACAGTTCTATTGGTATTCCATCCACCCCTGGTAACTTATTTCTTCCTAGTGCTTTCAGAGCAGCTTTCACATCACTTTCTAGAACTGCAGATTCTTCATCACAGCAATCCTTTTCAAATGAGTCTCATCTTTTCATCTTTTCTGTGCAGGTCTTCAGTATACTGTTCCTACCTTCTCTATATTTTCCCCTGGTGAGATAGAGATCTTCCCTGTTGATCATTCAGCATTCTTAATTTAGGATTAAATTTCCCTATGATCTCTTGGATCTTCTGGAAGAGATACCTAGTTTTTCTCCTTTTGCTATTCTCCTCTATTTATTTGTACTGGATATTGTAATAGTTCTCTTTGTCTCTACACAACAGTCACTGAAGAACTGTGTCCAGGATTCTGACCATACTTCTGTAATCTTTTACTTTTGCTTCTTTTCTGTCCTTTGAAATTTTAAGTGTTTCTTCTGTCAGCCATCTAGGTTTTTCTTTTCTTTTTACTTCAGGAATTGTGTTTTGCTTTCTTCCCTGATAATATTTCTACTTTTGTTCCACAGTTCTTCTGGTTCAAAGTCAATTGAGTTTAGTGATGCAAATCTGTTTCTTTTCTGGACTTTAAATTCATCAGAAATGTTTAGATTATATATTGGCACTACAATTCTTTTAGTGGTCCCCCCCAGCTTTACTCTAATATTGGATATTAACAGTTTATGATCAGTACCACAAACCACTCCTGGTCTTGTTTTGGCACAGAGAATACAGTTTCTCCATCTTCTGCTTCCAGACTATTTGGTTTCTATATTGACCATATGAGTTGTTCTCCTGCTTCATTTGTATCGCTTAGGCCAAATTTTCCAACAACATTTGGTTCTGCTTTGTTTCCTATTTTTGTGTTCCAGTTGGCTATGATATCATGTCTTGTTTTAATGTGTGATCAATTTCCTATTGAATACTTGCATAAAAGCTTTCAAGTTCATCTTCTTCAGTATTAGTATTTGAAGCATCGAACTGAATGGTGGTTATGTAGATAGGTTTTCCACAGTCTGATTGATATTAATTGTTCAGATCTTGCATTATAGCCACTAACTGCCCATGCTACAACTTGCCTCAATATTAGAGCTACTCCAGAGCAGAATCCTTTCTAGTAGTTTGAATGGAAATATCCCACTCCAGTCCACTACAGTTTGCTGAAGCTAAGCACTGCAATGTTTATATGCTCCATTTCTTGCTTTACAGTTTCCAGTTTACCTTGGTTCATATTTCTCACATTCTGTGTTCCAATTGTATATGTTGTACAGCTTCAGATTTCCTTTGGTGAGAGGGATGCAGTATAATTTACTATAATTGAGAATGTAACCACATATGATATTTCTGTACTTCAAAGTTTACAGTAGAAGTAGGGGCAGCCTTTTAAAGAAATCTGCACTGAGTTATTCTAATCTACTCTCTAACTTCACTACAATTGCCATAACTAGATTATTAGCTTTACGTGTCTTTAGAACGCATTTTCTCATATGGTGGAAGGTTTTGTTTGATTTTCCTCATTTATTTGTTTTGCATTTAGCATACTTTGCTTGCATTGATCACCAGAGGGCAAACAGAGGTTTAATTTGTAAGCCTGATCCATAAGCATCAAGAAATCCCTGTTGTGTGAGAGAAAATGGGTTAACAGAATGCATATTTCCCTTAATGTTTAATCTGAGCCAGAGTCTGCTTCAATAGGTGGTGAGAATGGCACTCACTCTGGGCTGAAAGGTCTGTGAACTTCATATCTGAGAAGAGATATATGTCAGGTTGCACTTTGGGAGTCTATTGGAAATGCTCATGATATTACTGATGGAAAATGACGCTATGCTCCTGTTATTCTGTGACCTTTTAATTTAAAATATTAAATAGCTCTTTAGGAGGAGCAGTGGTGGTCTTAGATCTACCAAAGGTAAAGGTGAGTTTTGTTATTTTCAGCGGTTGCCACTGAGAAATGATTCAAAGGGGAATGAAGCTCAAACAGCATAACACATCTAAACAAGACAAGCATACATGCAGACACAAAAACAAGGGGGTTAATCCCCCCTCTTGTATTTAATATTCCTTCACTAACCCAAATTCTGCAGTCTCAGCAGCATTTCTGAACCTAGAACACTTTTTATTGGTGCTGCAAATTAATCTTCTGGTAGGAAGAGGCAAGCCTGATTTTTTTTCTTTTTTTAAAGAAACAAATTGATAGGCATGGCTTTGCTGTTTGGCTGTTGACTTTAGGAGCATTCTGGCACAGGGATTAAACAGTAATACCGAAGTGAATACTCTACTCACAAACTGAGTTTGAACTTGGGCTCAGGTAGCCAACTCAGCCTTCCATCCCTCTGAAGTCAGTAAATTGAGCACCCAGCTTGCTGGGGGGGGGGGCAAAATGTAGGCTGCATATTTAAATCACAAACTGCCCAGAAAGTTCTTTAAGTGCTATGGGACACCACATAAGCAGCACACTTCACTTCACTTTTCGCTTTAACAGAAATCAAGCTAAATGGATAGAACTTGAATATCAGTTTCCTTTCCATAAATATTCCCCTCAAGGGGAAAAATGTTCTTCCAAACCAATCTTAGATGCTTCAAAAATACACCTCAACATAGTCTGGGTAGATAATATGTCTAAATTGAAAAACAGGAATACAAATATTGGGAAATAGTTCTCTTTCACCTTAAATCCTTGGCGCACTCCACTACATACGCTAGTTCCTCCTCCTGCTGAGGTAGGCAAATAGGCTCTGAGATCTTCACGCACGGCGTCATCAGTGATCTGTTTCAACCAAGTCCGCACTGTTGCTGCACCGTTGAATGTCACAATTCCAACCCAAGACCCTGCTTCAATAATCTGTAGGAGGAATAGATCTGCAGCCTGCTTCAGTCGAGCAATGCGTTGCTGTTATGTGAAAAAAGGGATAAAGGAGAATTACATTGCCGTCAAAGTCATTTATTGTTGGGCGTCATCTTGGATAAGAAGCCATCTTTTGAGTATTCTCAAAAAAAGCAACATAATTTAAAATTATATTAGAAAGCAAGGAGCCTGTGGCTTCTTGCCCGACTTCTGCCGAAACAGGATTCCCTGATTCAGTTATCAACTTATCATCATCATCATCATCATAGAACTGAGCAGGATGGGACCCTGTGAATCATGGAGTTCAGGCCCTGTCAAGGAGGCACAGTGCGGAACTAAACTCCCAACCACCTAAACCTCTGAGTTATCCAGCAGTTCATCTTCATGACAGACGACTACCAGTGGCAAATACTGCTGAGGCAGGAGTTTTATTTTGAAGAGGTAAGCAGTCATTTTCAATCGTACGTACTGTCTTATCATTTCTTTTTTGGCTACTGTGAGACCCAATACCTAGCCGGCTCTCTAGCCTATGAGCAAGAACAATTGTTGGGGTGGACTTTTGCCCCTGGTGGTTTTGGAGAGTTTAGTAGAGAAACTGAAGTGTGTGTGGGGGGGAAGATATCAAAGATTGGTGCTCTGGTAACTTCACTAGTATAGATTTGACTCTGTGCACATTCACAGAGAACGCATAATATTCCCTAGCATGTGGAAAGTCAATTCTGCTTGTAACTTATGATAAAGCAATCATTGCATAGGGTATTGACTGTTGCCTGGAAACAGAAGAGGTTATTTTTGAAAAGAAGCAATTTTTCTAAAACACCAGCAGCAAATAATGTCTCTTCACCTTTTGATGAAATACAGCCAACAAAGGTGCATGAATGTTTACATTCCTGTGAATAATTTGGTTGTAAAGAGCAGAAGGGAGAAGGGTCAAGAAACTGGGAAACAGGGGGATCATGGACTCTGGTGGTCTTTTGGAAAATTCAGGCTTTGTAGTCAGTGGCTGGAATGAGCTGGCTGAGAGAAAAGAGGGGTAATGCCCACCAATAATTGGAAGGGAGCAACGCTTGCCAGGCTGGCTCGTTCTTAGGTAGGGAGCTATTCGGGAAGATGATTTTCAGCTGAGTGGGAGGGGGGTGGCAGGAACTGCTCTTGATTTCATGAATGTTCAAGGAGATGTGATACCTGATTGGAAGAGCCTCTGGAAAAGTCCAGAAGCAAAAAAACTTTAGGCATAAAAATCGAGTCAGCAGTTATTTTATTGTCAAGCAGCGCGGTCTCATTTGCAAAAAGAAACATAGTTGAATTGCATTTAGCACAATTTGAATCAATATATTTAAAAAAGAGATTGCATGATGCATAAGTAGCTCATTTTTTTTAAACAAGGAATTGGAGTGTGTATTTTTTTTTTTTTGAAAGAAAGCGGGCTATTTTATTCTTTAGCCAGAGGGTTGTTTAATTTAACACAGTTGGTGTAATAAGTTTCTGTTCTCACAGGACTGGGCACTGAGACAGAAGGGGACAGGGGACAAGGGACAGGGTGTCCCTGGTTGGAGTCCCTGCAGCTGTGGCGTGACCCTTGGACCCAGCCAAGAGGAGCCAGGCCTTTCCTTTGCTATCTAAAAGGAGCCTTTTATGTTTTGTGGGTGTGGTGGCATTTCTACCTCGCATGGTTGGCATAAAGGTCAAAGTGCTTAACCTTGTGGATTTTGAGGAAGTCCCCAGAAGCACTGCTTAGTTGAGGTAAGACTAAGGTGTTTGGAAAAAGTGCTTAACCTTGTGGATTTTGAGGAACTTCCCGGAAGCACTGCTTAGTTGAGGTAAGTGTTTGGAGGGTGTCAGGCAGGAAGATTTCCCCAGCAATCACCCCATTTGGCCCTCCTGCTTTCACCCACACCAACCACTTAGTCACAATCAGTGTGACTAAGTGGTTCCTGAGGGGCCTTTCTAAGGCCCGCCACACCAACCACTTAGTCACAATCAGTGTAGTGTGACTAAGTGGTTACTGAGGGGCCTTCCTAAGGCTCTGGAATTCTTGACAAGAAGGTATTTAAGCCTTCAACCCACAATATTTTCACAAGCAAAACACTTTTCTTTGAAACTGCTGTTTGCTCCAAAGAAGAATTCTAATCTGGCATGCTCAAGGACATCTAGTTTCACAGCCTGCCCCACAGGGATCGATGTGTGATCTTAATTCTTCCCAAACAGACAATTTAAAACTCAGTCCTAAATCTCAGTTGCAAGCATTCTGACCAGTTTATGTCCCAAATAACAAGGATACCTGCTGGTGGAGACTTTACTATGATGAAGACAATACAATACTATTGAGCAGATGGCCCTAGATTGTTTGCTGTTAGATATCTGTCACAGAAATGTGAAAAATATCCAGCGGAACATACTCAGCCAAAATAATGGCTAAAATCATCATGCATAGTTTACAGCTATGGAAGGGTGAGGATATCATTGGCAGGCGGGTAATTTCTTGTAATCAAGGATTTCCTACTTCTGCCTCTTCTAACTCCTGTGTAAACCCTTTCATTGCATGGAAGCTGGGCAAGCTAGGGAGGAAGGAGGAATTCATTCATTACAAAAAATAGTCCTGCCAGTTACTTTATCCAGCAATATTTTTGGTAATTAAATATTTCCTCCTTCCATTTTGCAGCTCCCACAACTTTCATGCAATGAAACAGATTATTCACAAATTGGAAACCCTACGGGAGGAAAGAGGAAATCTTTAATTACCTCAAATATACCTTTCCTGGTGACTTCATCTCCTTTCCACACACATGGTTTATATCAACAGGAATTAAGGCAATGTACACTTTATTAAAGGGGACGTGGTGGCGCTGTGAGTTAAACCGCAGAAGCCTCTGTGCTGCAAGGTCAGAAGACCAGCAGTTGTAAGATTGAAACCATGCAACGGAGTGAGCTCCTGTCGCTTGTCCCAGCTCCTGCCAACCTAGCAGTTTGAAAGCATGTAAAAATGTGAGTAGATACATAGGTACCACCTTTGTGGGAAGGTAATGGCGTTAAATAAGGAGACTGCAGTCGAATTAACCATTTCAAAGCATGCTCAGGATCATCGGCTGAAGTTGCTGTTCAAATGGCTCTCTGATCACTGTTCTGTGATAACAGCTCTCTGTGATAACAGCTCCCCCAATGATGCCTGGCACCTCCTTTTATTCTCTTACAGGTTACATAACATTAACTGTCAGGTTTACATGAGCCAATAGGGCGTTCTGCCCAGTAACACACCATATTATATCACATGAGGACATCAACGTGGTTCATACAACATGGACATTAACATGACAAGAAATACATTTATATGTTTAGCTATGGTGTACAAGAAATATGTTTAGCTATGGCGTACATTTCCAGGTACATTCCCACACTTTACCTTTACACTTTATTATGCTTCCCTTGTGTTGACATCTGTTTTTAAAATTGACCTGAATTTCATCATCTGGGGAAAACCTAATTCTATGAAGATATTTCTTCCACAAATCTGCGTAGCAGATAGACTTACCCCAATCATGCTTCCAGAAACATCAAGTACCAGACACAGGACCCTGTCCTGTGTTTGCAGGAAGGAGACAGTAGGGGCAGGAGGAGGTGTATTCATTGGAGGCGAGAGGCTGATGTCAGTAGAATTCATAATAACTTCCCATGTGCTTCTGTAGTCGCAGAACTTGTTCTGCATATTTGCTGCAATAGCATTATGGCTATTCTTGTCACAGAACTCAATGACCTAAATAAAATGGCAGAAGAAGAGGTGAAAATCACAGCTCATTAGCAATTCCAATGCAATGATAATTATTCCTACCTTATAATAAATATGGTGGTGCATATGTAGAAATAGTTTGTCAGATATGCCTCCTTCAAAAGGCTACAGAGGCTGTATTGATTTTAAAGTCTGGGCATATTTTTCCCTTCACCTCACAAACATTTAATTATAACTGGACTATCCTAAGTTAGCAACTGCTATGAATGACCCCAGAAAACTGCTTCTCAGCCTATGAACTAGTATTATTAGATAGTAATTAGTCAGTACTATACATATACCAGATAATACTATATATACCAGAAAGTTGTGGTTTTGGTACCTAGCTGTAGGGCCAGAGGTTGGAAGTTTGATTCTCCAGTGTGCCTCTGGAGAGTACAGCCAGCCTGTGTGGCCTTGGGCTAAGCTACACAGTCCCAGGCACACCCAGAAGAAGGGAATGGTGAATAATTTCTGAGTATTTTCTACCTAGAAAACCCTGGAAAAGGTTGTCATAAGGCAGAACTGACTTGACAGCATGTAGTTATTATTATAAATACCAGGAGTTAGAACCCTTTGGCCCTCCAGATGGTTTCCACCCAGCATAGCTAACAGTGATGAACTATAGGAATTGTAGGCTGATATACACTAAGAGCAAGCTCATTTCTTTAAGAACTGCTCCATGTGTGGCAAATTTGCACAAGGACATGGAAGTTTTAGAACAACAACACCTAAAAGAGTCCAAGGAGACCAAAACAGTCCAATGAAAAACTGAGCATGGTGACTGGCAACAGAATGCTCACTGGTTGGGAGGCAGTGGAGGAGGACTGAAAACTGGCAGGAGAAAGAGAATGGAGTGTTTGGATTGTCATTACTTTGGCTTGGTTTGGTTTGGTTTATATCTCACTTTCCCACTATGGACAGGACTTTATGTGACAAACAGAGTTCAAGATTAACAATTCAACAGAAGCCAACCACACTACTATTTTGTTGCAAGCCCAGCTTGTAACATATGCAAGCTAGTTCCTGCTGTTTTGTCATGTTGTAGTGTCTCACTTCCTTCAGCTTTTAGAAGGGAAAATATAGCAGTGGAATCTCACAGCTGCCATTACCCTTGGGACAACTCTCCCAGTTAAGACAAGCCAAGGGGGGAAAAAGAAATATAGCTTTGAAGACTAGGACTGAAGGCTGTGCTTTCACTGATGGAACCCCTTGTGACAAAAGAATTTGGAGTTAGGGATGCCCCCTGTCTACTGCACCCTCTTGTTCAACCTCAAAAGCGGCTCTAGAGGGCTGGGAATCCCTTCAACAAGCAAGATGGGAGATAGACTTAATACTGTATAACATCATGATTTTGAACTAACCTGCTGAATACTTGTTCTGTGCTCTCAAGTCACAGCTACCTTTAGCTAACAGAGCTTTCAAGGTATGTGAGATATTTAAAGAGCACCTTGACCATTGCCACCCACCCACCCCTCAGTGGGTTTCCATGGCTAAGCAGGGATCTAAGCACAGGACCACTTCAGGATATTGGCAAATTAAAACAGAAACTCAGAGAAAGTAATTTAAAAAAAAATTCATTGGGGGGTCACAGAAGTGCTGCCTCATATAGGAACTATATGACTTTAAAAGAAGACTGGAAGAACTAAAGCAGCAGCACAGAAAAGGTGGGGAAAAGGAGCAAGAAAGCAGTAAAAACCCATCAAAAATGAAAGTGGCAAGAGAATTAAGGATGAAAAGGAAAGTGTCAGAAAGAGCAACGCAGAAATATATGTGTAAAAGTAAAGAAAGAAGATAGATATACCTGTATAGTTGTTATTTTATAGCCATGATTTAATCCAGTATTTGTGAGAAAAGAATCAACAAAACCTTGGGGTATTATAACATAGCATAGCATAAATAAAATCATATTTACCCTGGCATTCTTGAACAACATGTAAAATACATGCATCAGTTTTATAAGATTTACTTAATTAACATTAATTGTACTTACTGAAGAGAGACTTTGCATGTACATTATAGATGCTGGAGATGTTTGGGTTTTGTCTGGAATAAATTGGCATCCAGCTTCATAAAGCTGAGTACGGTGTTCAACTTTGCATTTTCTGATTTGTCCTGTTTTTTCTTGGAATATATATTGACCAGTGACAGCTGCTGAGCATCTAAACAGTATTAGAAACAAGAATGGTTAGCCAGCCAAAAAAAAAAAAAAATTAAGAAATCATCATACTCAGAGGTAGATTGTTCTGTGCTGATCCGGGTAAAACAAAACATGTCCATCAAGACTTAACAAATGGCTGATCACCTTGCTATACATTGGCTACAGTGGTGCAAACTCAGACCATTCAGTCCATTTGCGAGTCCAGACAAGAGCAGAATCCCTG